GTTCTATCATCAAAAATCAATCATCATTTCATGATTTCAAAATTTCATGTCCGAGTCCGTGAAAGTGATGTCAATTGCCATCTCTGCTTTAAGTGGAAAGTCCTTGTTGGCGCAAAGTAAGATTTCTCTAAAAGGCAGAAACTTTTTTACTGCATTCTCGTGAGCCATTTTAAAATCTTTTGACATCTTTCAGCATAAGTTGTAGAATAATATGAGAGACCAAAACAAAATAACAAAAACAATGACGTACGGTTGCGCTAGCTGCCGAAACACTAATAACGAGATATTTGGTACCGGGAGTCTACTTTTTCTACTCTACTCAGAAGATGCACTGTCGCCAGAATGTTTGTCCTAAAGATGCAACAAGGAACACACATTTAACAAAATTTTATTGATGTCTATTGAGCTGACATGCCACCCCTCCCCAAATATTTTCAATAGTAACCCATATGGTGTATTTTACCCAGTTCAATTACAAGGGTACTAAACTGTCATTTTGGTGTAAAAGGGGTGGGGGGGGGGGAGAGAGAGAAATGCAGGGGGTAAAACGCTGCCACGCGAAAGTGTGGTTGGAAAGGGGTTGTGCGTTTTGGACGGGAGTTTTGTCTTAATTTGTTTAATAAATAGTAATGTTGTTTTTTTTCATTTTAAATGTAACTATTTCTTTGTTTAAACGACTTCGTTAATACATATTTTAAAAAAAAAAAACTAACAAAGAAAAAAAATCCCGACATCAAAAAAAACAAAAACAAGAACGACATGACCCTTTGATTACTACCGAACTGGTTTGTGTTGGTTTCTTTTTGTTTAACGTCTGATTGACTCGCCATAATTCTTTTAACGGGGACCGATTTTTTAATATTTTTTTAAAATAAAAAAAATAATTTATCGAAATAAAAATTATAAACGTTTTAAATTAATAATAAATATGCCTGATAATTTATGAAAAATGATTTGTGCGTTGTGATGTCATTTAATCACAAAATTAACTTAATTTTAATTTCTCCGGGCCCAAAAAGCTGTCCCTAAAAAATATTGGAAAATTCTAGTGCATATACGTCTATAAACATGCATGTATAAGGCTAATGTACTATTTTGTGCCATCTGGTCCTGATAATTTGGACGGCCACTCGTTAACCCCTACTTTGCACGGCCTGGGTGTATTTTAAGATTATATTGGAATTTAAAACTATGAAAAATCTGTTCTTTATGTTTTATTTTTTCTTATTATCCCTATTAAAATTCAATGTATTGTCTCATGGGTTGCTCCTCGAAATCGTCTGGGAACCGGTGAGATAGAGGCTTGCATGGTTAATTATGTGAAGAATTTAATGAATTTCTCTCAAACTGAATGTAAAAAAAACAACAAAACAATTTTTTTTTTTTTTTTAAATCTGGAACTTGCTCTTATGTTGTATTTAAATATTCAGTACAACATGTGCTAGGGTCATATTTACATGTTACAGTCGGCTCCATTTCGAAATGTTTTATTTATTTTGAGTAAATACTAGGAATTGTGGTATGACTCGCCAATTACTAATTACCTTCATCCATCCCTTAATGAAAAGCGTACGCTTACTTTAAATGTAACAACTAAGTATTAGAATTAGGGGCCGTCCATAAAGTACGTCACGCTATTTTTGACCATTTCCCCCCCCTCCCCCTGTCACAAATCTCGGAAAACCCCCCCCTCCCCTCCCCTAAAGTACGTCACACTTTCGAACAATTTTTTTTTAAAATTAAAACTTAATTAAAATTTAATCTAAAACACACTTCAATATTAAACTGTATTAAAATATACAATTTCCACTTAAAAGAACTATCCCATTATTAAAATGACTTAAATAGTAGTATACTTACTAGCGCTCCTAACGAGGGCGAGAGGAATCGTGAACAACACATTCAGGAGATACGCATTTCATGCTATTTTGACATAAAACTAATTCAAATTCTACTAAAAAAAAAATTAAAATAAAATTAGAAATCAAATTAAATTTTAAAAAATAAATGTGTGATGTCACACAT